CAGTGATCGCTGTTTAGCTCAAATACGTTTATGTGTGTATGTATGTGGTATAGCGCAGTCACGTCGCTCATACACATCTCTTTTGCCTTTGTGAGCTCGTGTTTGATCGGCACTGATGTACAGATTTTTCGCGTAGCTATGCGCTGTATTTGGCAACCAAATAGGCTTATGCTTGTACGTCTTTGTAATTTTTTGTAACTTTACACCCAAAAAAAGGGTGCTTATCTTCCAAGTATAAAAAATATAAGTATGCCACTCTGCGTCTTTTTACAAATGCTTCGTTTAAATATTAAAATCGGTTTAGTACTTTGAGAAATAAGTCGTTACAAACGTACTCCATATAATCATTTTTTGAGGTACAGTATATTTTGCTTAGCTGCCCATCCTTCTTTGCACGAAAAACTTGTGCGCTTAACCGAAAAAAGCACTTAAGCGAATTTTCTTTACTACTTCAATAAGGAAGGTATCCGAATCCCTATGAAACCAAATAATGGAGGAGCACTTACCACGTAGAAATTACTGCACCACCGAGTGGTATCTAATTATCTATATAACTACATAAAATAATTGCTGTTCTCGTTGTTCTGCGAGATGAGCAAAATAAATAATAGCTTGTAAAATTAGGATAAGTGTACAGCAAGTGCAGGTAAACGTAATACTTTCTTTGATAATTGATAATAGTTGCAAATTTTTAAGGCAGGTATCGCTAATGTGCAGGTATGTTGAAGGCAAGTATCGGAGCAGTTTCCTTATAAATGTTAAAAATAATGCCGCTGATGCGCATTTTGGGGTAGGTATCTTAAATGTGCACTTAATTAAGCACAAAGGCAGCAAAGCAAAATATACTGTATTTTCAAATCGGTCCAGCTCGCTTAAATCTTAATATTTTTCCGAAATATTTTGGTGGACGTCTTAAAATATAATAGATTTTATAATTCCAATGGAAAAGTAGTACCGATTTTTTNAATTTGAGCAAAAATCAAAATTTTTTGATTTTCTGGCCGCCATGTTGATGTTTGATCAAACCGCTTGCGTTGTGTATAGCAAAATCGCCTCATTCGCAACGAAATTTTCACCGAGTAAGGACGTAAGAGAGGAAAATGAAAGAAAACCATAATATTTAGCATTGCGAACTGGAAGAAAACTAAAATTCTTTGCTTGAACGAGTCATGTTTGCATGGTGTATGGCGAAATGGGAAAAGTAGGTTTGAAGAATGTTTGACAAGCCGCTTGTGTGGTGTATTTCGCTCTTAATGTATATACAATATTGCAGCAGCTTTCTACCTACACTCGAAAAAAGTATCACTATTAGTTTAATACACGTTGGGTTAAAATGAAACTTTAAACAGTATCCCTTTTCCGGTATCAATATAACCATAAATAATATTAAAAGTATATTGAAAAATATTACATTTGTATTTTGGCTATTAATTTTATGAGGAAAAATATAAGTTTTGCCCTTAACAATATCAAATTGAGACCTGTATAGTCTCTTTGGTATCAATGTAACAACGAAAATATTAAATTTATCATAAAAAGTATTCGATTTCTATTTAGCCTATTAATTTGAAAAATTAATAGATCAATTCCATCCTCAAAAATATCGAACTAATATACATGCAATTAATTTGATAAGCGACAGTATCAAATTAACACTGTAAACGTATCATTATTCACGAATGTATGTTCGAAAATTCGAAGAGCGATGATCGTTCATAAGACGATAGCTATTATTTGTCGTTTGTTGCCGCGTGCAGTATACAGCCGTAAAACGTGAACCTTTTATTGTGACCAATATTTTCGTTATTACTTCACTATTTGCTGTGGTTAATTACCAAAATAAAGAGAATTAAAATATCTTTAAGAATTATAGAATAAAAGGTAATTTAAAAAGTGTAATATGCATATTTTTCAAGCTTACACTAAACTGTGTGCGTACGCAAAGCATTTGCAAGTGGACGAAAAATTTTGACATATGTGTGTGAGCGTGCATAAGAATGCAAATGGAATTATTTGCCTTTGTGAATAACGTTGTGCCGCGAATAACAATGTAAGCGACAAGATTATAATTTTGCAGAAATAAAAAGAAAATGTGTTTAATGGCGCACATACATAAGCTCATTTGATTTGGTTTTCTACTTTTTCGGTACAGGAAAATTCAATAAACTTGCCCTTAAAGCATAAAATATGCGTGTTTATTTACATTCATACATACGTATCTGCGCTTAAAAATTGTATTGAGCTGTAAGCGACAAACTTTATGTGTGTTTATGAATAGTTGTCGATAAAATCAAAATTACTTGTTTTGAAATGGAAATTGTCGATGATTGTTTTTTTACACGTTAAGCGTAGATGTATATGTGTGTAAAAAACACGGCTAATATTTATGAAAAATGTACCTACATTGTACATTTATATCGTTAAAGTTAAAGAAACATGTTCTAAGAAAATTGTCGCTTACAACGTTATTCGCGGCGACCATTCAATTGCTTTTAATAACACTGCCTATGTACATATACATTAGGTGGAGAAAATGGACGACGGTAATGAAGTTGTAACATTCGAAACTGTTACGGGTTTGGTTCAGCAATTGGAGGCGTCGAACTATCATGATGATCTGCTGAATTTTGTACAGCAAAACAACTTAGATTTAATGTGCTACACGAGTTTGATTGGTAAGTATTCAAGATTGTGGAACAGTGCCGGGCAAACGCCCGCACACAAAAATATTACAGTCAAAGACAAAAGTATAAATTCGAGAGTTTTTCACGATTTATGCAAAACTCAACAAATTTTAAATTTTCTAATCAGATTTTTTAGAAAAATTTTTAAAATTCATATACATATGTAGCCCATAAAATTTTAGTGTAACGTGATAGTTTGAAGTTGTTAAACAACATACTTTTTATTTAAGAACTGCGTGAAAAAAGTTCCTTGCACTTTAATGTACTAAAATGTAAGGGGATACAAAACTGAATTTTCAAAATTTTCTAAAAAATCTCATTAGGAAATTTAAAATTTATTCAGCTTTCCTGACTTTTATTCAAAGTTTAAAAATTTTATATTTATGTTTTTTTAGTAGGAATTATATTTTCATAAAAAATTAACAGCAAAATTAAATAGAAAATGGTGCATACATTGTGAAAAATTTTGTGTATTTATATTTTTGTCTGTGACTGTATGTTGCCTGGTTGGTTGCTTGTGGCACTGTTGTTGAGCTACGGCTTGTGTTTGTTATTTGCTTATAAATTTTATAATAATTCAGAATGCGGGTATACATTTGAGAAATTAAAATACATTGACAAGGACGACATAAACGTAATATTTCCAAATCGAGAACAAACAGCTCTACGTTCTGAGTTCAGAGTCAAGTTATTCGAATGGAAGGCCAGTCAAGTGAGCAATTTAAAAATAAAATTTATTTATTTGAAAGTTTAGAGGTATTTTTTTTTATTGTTTTTGATGTTTTTTAAGGGTTTTAGCACGTCCATAAACGATTCGCAATCGTCCACTTTGTCCTGGCCGCAACAACGTCTACATTTTCATTCCCAGAATCAAGCTGTTCCACAGCTCATAGTAACGCTAAGGTTAGTTAGTTACATATCTAACATTTTAAACTTAACACACATTGTTGCATCGTTCCAGGTTACCAGTTTTAATCATAGCAAAAAAAATTTCAGTTTCCAATAACAAATTTAATTGAAAAAACTTAAAAAAATGCTTTTAACTTTGTTGTTGGAAACCACCTGTTTTCTTTTGATTGTGTTTAGTAACTTTTTATTTAATAATTAGTTTTTAAATTGTTTATGTAGGGCGCAAAAGAAATATTGCAGTCGTCTGAAATTGGCAAAGAAATAATTAAACAGTTTGCTACAAACCAGTATCTAACAGAAGACAACAGGCGTAAAATAGTACAAATTATTTCCGAAAATTTGTATGTGCCTGCTACAGCAAGTTATTCCACCCTCAAACTAGCCGAAATAGAAAAACTTGCTGATCAAATCGTAGAAATTTTTCCAACAGAATCTAAAGATGTTTATTATATGGGGCGAAAAAAAAGCGGAAATTCTAGTCCAAGCGGTATTCTTTTCAATAAGCTCCACAATCATCATCGGAAAAGAAAAATCGTCTTAGAATCAAAAACCATTGATAATGAAAAACAGCAAGAGCAAACTGTCATTGACTCGGTTATATTGGACTATGTAAATAAATTAAAATTTTATGTTGGTTCGGAGGAGGATTCTTTTGAATTGTGGAAAGCCACATATTCGTACCGCAAACATTTCATTAAACGTGCAGTATCATTTGAGTCTGTTATTGAAGAGTTTCCTCTATACAAGCAAGCCATGGGATACAAATTTGTAAGCTATAGTGTATATAACAATTATATACCACCCACCTATTAATTAGTTATTTTTTTATTATACTAAAGTTTATTCTTTAACAAAAAGTTACAGTTTCAAACTTTGTGTTATACTAACAAATTTTAACAAAGTCAAAGCTTGTCAATATGTGGGTAGCTAATAATTGTGATACACACTATAGTTTTGTTTGATATTAATAACACTAGTTTACAGCGATCAAGAACATTTAAAAAATCCATAGTCGTGCTCAGCGACTTAAATTCAAGCCTAAAATGTAAGCTTTAAGGAGGCTAATTTATCGTGTAAACTAGTGTACATATTTGTAATATTTTTTTTTTGTATTATCAACACCGTATTAACTTACAATAAAACATAAATTTCAGATTGAAGCAGATTTTAAAGAATTATACCCAGAAAAACAATTTATGATTACGTCGAAATGGGCTGAAACGTTACCAAAGCGTACGGTTTACTACGAGGAACACGTAAAAGATAAATACTACAGAAAACTTTTGATATCTGTAAAAGGCATAACCGACACAAGTAAGTCTCATATATTGAAATTTTTTTTTAATAGTAAAAAATATACGTAATCGATTATTTTTATTAGATTCGAAAGACTGCATTTATTTCATGCTGCTTCACTCCATTTTAAAACCAACTCATCGGTATATAATTAAAGAAGGCGAATTAAAAGTACATCGTAAAGCTACAATTCAAAGTTCCGTGAGCAGCTCTATATTACATATTACCAGTGTAAATGATTTGCAACATCAAATGGAACTACGTAGAAATAAGTCTATAGAATCGAAAACTCCGATACAGCCCTTTTTAATTGTAGTTGGCTCTGATCTCTTGAGTTTAACTGATTTTTATGTGAGCTTTGGTTATTAAAAATTTAAATTCAGCTCGTTTATAATATCTTTGGATATTTGCTTTAAAATTTATCAAATATTCTCTTTAAAATATCCTGATGAGTCTCATCACGTGTGGAGTTTTCTTCAACATTACTTTTATGATATTTCTACTCCTTATGACGTAAAGAAGCCATGTGTAACTAATTTCATTAGAAATTTAAGCAATTGCATTTAAATCAAATAACATATTTTCAGATTTGTTTTAATGACTAAAATGTTGTGTTTTAAATGCTATAAAGATTTTGCTATCTTGACAGCTTTATACTCTCATTTCGTATCATATCATGGGTTAAGTGAAGTAGATATCTATAGATGTACTCACAATAATTGTAATCAAGAGTACACAAGCTTAAAAAGATTTAAGGTACATGTTAAAAGGCATCTGAATTTAAAATCTTTTAAAAAGACTAATAATGTTAGCAATACAAAACAATCAGACGTTAACTTAGGAATAAGCGAAACACACTTGTTCAATATGGAAAAATCCGAAAATAATTTTGAAAGACAAATTTTCACTTGTAATCAGCCAGAAAAAAAGAGATCTCTAAAAAAAGTATCGTAGAGGATGTTGAAAACTTTTTGTATGAAGATGAAGTTTTTTCTAAGTTTGAAAGTCATATTACACAAATTTGTCAAGATGTTTTGATTAAATTTTATGCAAAAGATAATTTCTGTAGAAAAGATGCCTTGCTTATACAGGAAAATATAGAAACTATAAATACCGCCATTGTAGAGGCTTTTAAGCACATATTTTTAAAAAGCATACTTGAAGAGCTTAAAAAAAAAACCAAATATTTCCTAGATTTTTGCTCAAATCCTTTTCGCAATACAGACACGGAACACAAGTTTTTTAAAAATCTTCTTCTAAGTAAAAATTTTGCAAAACCGATTCTTTTTAACGTAAATAACGAAATCACAAAAATTCAGAAAAACAATAGGCCAACATTAGGGCCTTCTAATATTAGGGGATGCTTAATGCCTATTGAATTTGAAATTCAGAAATTTTTTGAACTACCTAATGTTCTGGATGAAACTCTAGAAAATATGGAAAGACTTAAATGTGACTTAAAAATAACGCATTACATAAACTCAGAATCTTTCAGAGAGAAAATGTGTAATTTTGAAAACAAAATTGTAATTCCAATCAACATATTTGTTGATGGATTTGAAGTAAATAATCCACTAGGCGCTCATGCCAACTTTGATAATGTATGCGGGGTATATTACACTTTTCCTGTAATTCCTCAGCATTTGCTATCAAAATTGGACCATATATTTGTGGCAGCCTATTTTAAAAGTATTCATAAAAAACAATTTGGTAGTGATCCATTTTTATAACCTCTAATAAATACTTTTAAAAACCTTCAAGAACTCGGCTTGAATATAAATAAAAGAACCGGAAGTAAAAAAGTTTAATTTTTATTAACTAATATTCTTGGCGATAATTTAGGACTCAACGATATACTTAGATTTACCACATCTTTGAACTCAAATTTTTATTGTCGCTTTTGTATTCGCTCGAAAGAGGACATGGCGAAAGATAGTATAGCTCACCCTCAATATTCCAGGGGCGTAGAAAATTATGAAGATTCGGTTTTGCAAAATAATGTTAAGTTAACAGGTATTAAATTGATCTGTTTATTTAATCAATTGAAGCATTTTCATGCCACTGATAATTTTGCTGTAGACATTATGCATGACTGGTTTGAAGGTGTTTGTAGGTACAATATTTGTGAAATTCTCTTGCATTTTATTTTGACTGAAAAATTGTTTACATTAGAAAATTTCAATTACCGGAAAAGTATGTTTGACTATGGTGAAACAGAAATAGGAAACAAATCGATTCATTTTAACTTGCAACAGCTTAAAAATTTTTCGATTAAAACATCTGCGCGTGAATGATGACTTTAGTGCATTTTATTACATTAATAATTGGCGACTTAGTGCCTGCCGATAATATTCTCTGGAAATACGTTATTAATATGGTAAAAATAGTTGATATATTAGCCCAAAGTAAATTTGACGCTAGTATTATAAATAACCTATCGATTCTTATACAAAAGCATAACGAAGAGTATATTCGTTTGTTCAAGAAACCGCTTAAACCGAAATTTCATTTTCTGACGCATTATCCAGAAGTAATAAGAAAAACTGGTCCTCCAAAGCACTTTTGGAACTTCAGATTTGAAGCAAAACACAGAGAAGCTAAAATTTATTCACGAAATGTTATGTGCAGAAGGAATATTACATATTCGTTAAGTATTAAAGCTGCATTAAAGTTTACAACATTCTTAGAACAAAACAATGGTTTTCCAAATACATATGATATACAGAAAACAGTAGTTTGTAATATAGAAACGTCAAATTTTGCATATGCACTGTCAAGTTTAAATGAAAATTTTCAAAATATTATAATAGAAAAATTAATTTACAATGGATTGATTTATAAAAGAGATTACTTTTTGACTCTTAGAACAAGTGTATTAACTTTACACAAAATCAAACATATTCTCATAAGTCATCGCAATGAAATCTATATTTTAAGTAAGTGTTATAATATAAAATGTTTTAATGAGCACTACCAATGCTATGAAGTTGGTATCAAAGAAAACATCTTACAAATTAATAATGTAATTAATGTCGAAGGACCGCCTATTCACATATACCATAATGTAAAAGGAGTTTGCTTTATACGAATAAAGAAATTTTAAAAGTGAAAAGAAAGTATTTAACGCCTTATTTTTTGGGAGAGGGGTGAACCTTATGTGGATGAATATCAAATTGATACTAAAAAACTGGTGTCAATTTTATAAAAGCGAGTATCAAATCAATATTCGGAAAAATATCAATTTGATAAGAAAATGAATATCAAATTGATACCAAAAATTGTTTTGTTATCGAGTATCAATTTGATAATAATGAGTATCAAAAAGATACCCAGTTTTGATAAAAATAAGTCTCTATTCGATAAGAGGGAGTATCAAATTGATAACACAAAAACATATTAAATTAATATTAATCAGTATCAAACTGAAAATTTCGAAAATGTCACTTTCACAATTTCGAAAATATCATTTAGATAACATTATTAATGAGGGAAAAAAAAATGCTCTAAAGTTTCATATTGATGGCTAAATAGCATCGCTCTGATGACAACTTTTTTTTAGTGTACCTTTTGTTTATTTGCCACTAGAGCACATGCCTGCGCTCGTTTTAGAGTTGTAGCGTCCTGTTGTCCTTTTAATAATATTTTTATTTGTTATTTTTTGTTTTTCTGTGCCTTAAATTCCTGCATTGGTTTCTTTCGTTATTATGATTTTTTTTTGCCAATCTTTAAAAAACTACTAGACATAAAAGAAGAAAGTGTGCACTGTAATTTTAAACCAAATTTTCGTGCTTTGCTTTTGAAGAAAGTTCTGACGTTACATATATTCATTTCAACCATTTCTAATAGCGCTCTTTGGGGAATTTAACTTTAGCAAAGATTTCAAAAACAGTAATTTTGTTTACTTGTCGGGCAGTATTTTAATTCATAGGGATATACACTGGATCCTTGGCTAAAAACTTCTGTGCTGAAAATCTGCCCCAACGTCTTCCTTCTTTGCTATTTAAAGTCAAAGAGTAAGCTCCTTCAATAGGGATTTCCAGCAAAAATGGTCATTGTTTGGCTATAAAGAGAATCGATGCTCAAATAATTAAAAGTCTATAGATATGACCTTTAATTAGGTAAGAATTAGATCATCTTCCGTGATTTCAATAATTCAAATGCTTATAAAAAAATAACAATATTCTGCTCCGGGCCAAAGGAATGGGAATATAGAATTCTTTTTAAAAAGCTTAAGAAAAACCTGACACATCTGCTTTGGCTTGTAAGTAGGGCTGCCAGATATCTCCGTTGCCAAACCGGGACACTTTGGTAAATCTAACACAACATACTTATGGGGCAGATTTTTTCAAATCAGCTCACAAAAAAATGTTGGTCATATACTTTGATGATTTGTACCTCTATGGAGAGATCGCAGAGTCAAAAAATTGTCTTCTGCAAAAAATTATTCGCAAAAAAAATTTTAAGATCAATTTTTTCAATGGGAAATCATTTTGTTGCTCCAAATGTTAAAGCTGATTTTGATTGCCTTTTCTGTGCTGATTACGAATCCGTGTCAAAAAATCATATTTTTTGATAAACTTTAGAAGCTGTAGCAAAGAAACAAAAAGCGATATGAGGCTTAAATTAAAGCTAGAAGTCTCGACTAATATCCCTGAAAGTAACACATCTGTCACTTATAGTCATTTATTGAACAGCAAACCTGATTTTGTGCGAAGTTTGAATACCCACCGCAATTAAAAAAAAGGGATAGACCCTTCCACTCAGACTCAAACTAAACTTGAACTTTCTACTACAATCTCTTAAAATAGTACCCCTGACCCTTAACCCTAAGGTCACTTATAGTTATTTATTTAACAGAAAAAAACTGATTTTAACGATTTTTTTTTCAATAGCACAGTATTCCAGTATTTTTATACTGCTCAATAAATGACTATTAGTGACCATCAGGAATGGTATTTTCAAGGATAGTAGCTGAGAGTGTTAGCTTTGTTTTAAGCCTTAGTGGAAGGCTCTATCATCTTTTGTTTTTTTGCTAGACCCTCTAAAATATTGCAAAAAACGCTACTTTTTGACACTTTTACCTCCTTTTTCTCTATCCTGTGTTATTCCTATACCTTTTATGAGCATGAAATGGTATTATAACTTTGGTCCGATGTTTGTAAGTACCAGAATAAGAAGAGATAGATAATGTATACTTAAATGATCAGAACGGCGAGCTGAGTCGATTTAGCCATGTCCGTCTGTCTGTCTGTCCGTCTGTTTGTAAGCAATCTAGTATCTCAGTTTTCTAGATATCCGGATGAAACTTAGTAGGTGGGTGTATTTTTATAATGTATTAATCATTTGTCGGAACCGGAAGAATCGGACCACTATAACATATAGCTCCCATACAACTGACTGTTCAGATATGAGATTTTTGGTTATAACTTCTTCGTTTATGTAGCTAGGGACATGAAACGTTGCAATACTTCCACCCATATTAACAGAAAACTTAGAGTGAAAATTACAAAGATAGCTCCCATACAACTGATTGTTCAGATATAAGATTTTTCGATATAACTCCTCCATTTAAGTAGCTAGGAACATGAAACTTTGCACTGTTGTCATTCATTATCAAAAGCCTCAATATAACTGATTGTTCAGATATAAGATTTTTCGATATAACTCCTCCATTTAAGTAGCTAGGAACATGAAACTTTGCACTGTTGTCATTCATTATCAAAAGCCTCAATATAACTGATTGTTCAGATATGAGATTTTTTGCCATAACTTCTAGGAACATGAAAATTCGCACCGTTTTCACTCATTATTAACAGAATACTTACAGTGAAAATAACGAAGGTTGGGTCACTATAACATATATCTCCCATACAACTGATTGTTCAGTTATGAGAATTTTCGTTATAACTCCTCCATTTAAGTAGCTAGGAACATGAAACTTTGCACTGTTGTCATTCATTATCAAAAGCCTCAATATAACTGATTGTTCAGATATGAGATTTTTTGCCATAACTTCTAGGAACATGAAAATTCGCACCGTTTTCACTCATTATTAACAGAATACTTACAGTGAAAATAACGAAGGTTGGGTCACTATAACATATATCTCCCATACAACTGATTGTTCAGTTATGAGAATTTTCGTTATAACTCCTCCATTTATACAGTTAGGAATATGAAATGTTGCAATACTTCCACCCATTAACAACAGAATCCTAACAGTTAAAATAACAAAGATTGGGTCACTTTTACATATAGCTCCCTTACAACTGATTGTTCAGATATTCGATTTTTTGTTATAACTCCTCCATCTATGCAGATGGGAACATGAACTTTTGCAATATTTCCACCCACTATCAAAAATATACTTACAGTGAAAATGGCGAAGATTGGGTCGCTATAACCTATAGCCTCCATACAACTGATTGTTCAGATATGGGGTTTTACTGTAAAACTCCTTTATTTGGACAGCTAAATCCGATAAATTCCGTAGCAATTTTATAAATAATAATACAAAGTCTACTGAGAAAATCGTCAAAATCTATGCAGTATAAACCTTATCTCTTATACCACTGATTGTTCAGATACCTACTTTTGCAATATACATATCTCCTTTATGTAGGAAGCTGAACCCATTAAATTGTGTTACCGGTTTATATACCGATCACACAGCAGTGAAAATCACTTAGATTGGTGCTATGTAAGGTATATCTTCCATACCTCTGATTGTTTAAATAGGATTTTTAATACATGTATCTCTCTATCTATGCATGCTGTGAATATATACATTTTTTCAGATGCTCATGAAAGGCATATCCGAAGACAGCGCTGCTCTTACTTGTTTATATTTGTTTAAATGCTTTTCTTTTGATATTTTGTCTTTAATTTATATTACCCTGGAAGAAGGAAGCAACCAAATAATTTTCAGTTCGTCTATGAGACATTTTGTGTGATATCAAAATTTTAAAATTGTGTAGTTCTCGTCACCATGTCACCGCCAAATTGTTGCTGTAATCCTTTCTTAAAAGAAAAGCACAACCCTGTTAGTCATAGTGGTGGCAAACTATCGATAAACGCGACTATCGGTAGTGGGCGATGTTTTTTTAAACTATCGATAGTCTATCGATAGTCGCCTATTTTGAAAAAGATAAAAATCTAATTGGGCCGTATTCATAATTAAAATTAAGTTGGTACTTAAAGTTGGTTGCAACTTTATTGACAGATAACTCATCCAAAATTATATCAAAAAGGTACAACTAACTTTAAGTACCACCTTAATTTTGACTATGAATACGCCCCCATTGCGTTAAATATAGTTTTTTGAAGACCATAAGGACCTACCTTAATAATGAAAGTATGATTTAAAAAACTAAACATATTTACAGCTTATCAAAAATCGTGTAGTCATTTTATTTATTTCTTATATATTTATAAGAATATTTTTTCGTCTCAACTATCGAGTTTTGTATCAGATGATCAGGTTGATGAGCTAATCGCGGATAGTGATACTAACAATATGGAGTGTGCTTCCTTCGATGTAGGCTCTCTGATTCTCACAGACGAAGATATTCTTGATGGTATTAAGAATCTTAAATATTATTATCATGCAGATGACGATAGCATGTCTGCTATTTTGTTAAAGAATAACGTTTCCTTAGTAGAACCCTTGAAATTTATTTTCAATAAATCGCTACCGTCAGGCATTTTTATTTAGGAAAAGTTATTCGAATGGGCGCGAGTATATTTCGACAATATTGCTTTTGGTTTTTGCGCAGAACAATAACATAAAGTTGATGAGACAGATTAGAGACTCTTTTCAAACCAGCAATCGCAATAGCAGGCACTCGATCGTACCATTCCTTTAAACCAAGCGATGCAAAACCTTTAGAATGAAGAGAAATTTCTGTTTGTGATGTGCATAAAATTTTATAAACAAATAACCCGCTAATTAAATATTTAAATTGAATTAAATAACAACGCTTACAAATCAACTTTTAGAATGCGCATTTTTTGGAAATAAGGATTTATGTATGTCTGTGCGTTAACGGATTTGCTCAACAGAAAATGCATCAGATTTATGCGTACCAGGGCAGTATCGTTGTAATTCCAG